GGGGTCTAAGTTCAGTATAGGATTATCAGTATTATGATTACGATGACATCATCGCTAATATCGCCACGATCATTATCAGTACTCTTGTCATCGTTGTTATTGTTCTTGCTACTGCTATTGATAGTGCTACTGTTATTGTCAAACTGCTATTGCTCTTAATGCTACTGTTACTGCTAGTGCTGCTGCTGTAGACTGCTGCTGCTATTGCTCTTGCTCTTGCTATTGCTATTGTTTTCGGTTATTTTACTACTATCACTATCAGACTGTTAGTATTGGCGCCCGCGCGCGGGTGTGTGTGTGTGTGTTTGCGTGTTTGTGTGTGTGTGTGTTTGTTTTTGTGCGTGTGTCTGTGTGTGTGTGTGTGTGTCTGTTTTTGTGCGTGTGTCTGTGTCTGTGTGTGTGTCTGTTTCTGTGTCTGTTTCTGTGTCTGTGTCTGTGTCTGTGTCTGTGTGTGTGTGTGTCTCTGTGTGTGTGTGTGTGTCTGTGTGTGTGTGTGTCTGTGTCCGTGTGTTTGTGTGTGTATGTGTGTCTGTGTCTGTNNCCGACCGACCGACCGACCGACCCACCTACTTACCTACCTACCTACCTACCTACCTACCTACCTACCTACCTACCTACCTACCTACCTACCTACCTACCTACCTACCTACCTACCGACCTACGCATCCAGACTCAATGTAGATACTGACGAACAACTTCTCCCACAAAAGGTGGGCTTATCAAGTAGGGTTGAGATCAGGGTCTAGTTCTTTGGGTTCATAGTGTTCGGCATCGAGAGCATCTAGTCTGTGCTTGCTTCTAACGACAAGATTGGCACGAAGGACTCACGTTTGTATTCACACTCGACGGGTCCGTACACCTCAACACTCAACCAGTCCCGACACCTCAGTCTTGGCTCGGAAAGTTTGAAGTTTCACCTGGCAAACAGAACTGCGCAGACCTCCAGCCTTCCTAATCCCTACAAACCCTAAACCTCTGCCGGTTATTATAAGGATACTTCGTATCATAGGGTTTCTAAAGCCCTTCTGAAGCCTATATTATACCCTAAACCCGAAAAGCTCCAAGCCACCGCCGTCGTTACGTCGTAGAGCATCATGATTTTCCGTCTGCTCGACACCAGATTACCTGTTTTGGTATTTGATAGAATATTACGATAGATAGTTGTCTATTACAATATAAGGTTTAGGGTTTATGATAGTATAGTATAGCATAATAGTTTCAACCCACTCGACACAGATGGGACATATTGAGGCTCTTGTCAGCTACTCCTCAGAGAAACAGCAGAGCAACAACAGTCGCCAATCCTACAACCCAAGCCCTACGCGTCACATCAGAAACAGCGTTAAACCCAAACGCCCAAAAGCCAGAGACCTCATCCCAAACCGCTAAATTTCTGCAGGCTTTCTGCAACGCTGCATTGAGGTTGCTTTCAGCATACGATCAGGTTACCACTCGGTCAGGCTTGCGTTGCCCACCCTAAACTCGTGCCGAAATTAGAGGTCAAGCATCCTTCTGCAGATACTCCTTCCAATTTGCCAAAGACTCTGGAGCGACAGGGCTAAGCGGGCTGGGGTGGGTTCGCTTGGGCTTTCGAGGTTTAGGGTACCATAACGCTTGTGGAGGAATGAGAAGGGCACCTTTGCAGACTGCAAGGGTATGATTGGGACGGAGCTTAATATAGGGGCCGTAATAGTTACCTATGCTATTTTGAGGGTTCCTTATTCTAACTATAGTCTAATATACCCCAAAACCCTAGTCTAGTGGTTCAGGCCCCTACATTACCCCGAACCCTAAACTCTGAAAGTCCTCAAACGCGAACTTAACCTCCAACTTGTTCAACTCAAAACCCTGCCAGACAATCGAAGACAACCAGTTTCAAGCCGTAGTGCAGCCCGAGAGATGTCCCAAGGCTTAGGATTCGGGGCTTAGGGCTTTCTAGTTAAACCCTAAACCCTATAAACCCTCAACCCTATAAACCCCAAAACCCTATAAACCCCAAAACCCAAACCCCTAAACCCTAAACCCCTAAGCCCCTAATGTTTCAGGGTTTAGCGTTCGAAGGTTTAGGGCTCAGGGTTTAGAGCTTCAGAGTTTCAGGTCAAAGGTTGAAATGCATGAATATATGGGCCTTAATAAGGGTTCTAGTAGGGATCTACAAGGGATCTATAGTCTATAAGGGATCTATAATAAGGGATCTGTAAGGGATCTATATAGGGCTTTGGGGGCTCCTTTAAAGGGTTCCTCAAAGGGTTCTATAAGCGCTACTACAAGGGTTTGTAGGGTTTAGGGGCCTTAGTAATTAGAACCAGGCTTTGGGGGCATGTAATACTATGAGTATAACAAGGAACTCCCCAAAATAGTAGTGGTAAATATTAGGCCCCTACATTACTGAAATGGTTGTGTAATCCTCCGGACTGCCGGCACCCCTAATTTTCACAAAAGCCTGATCTGCGCGACTAGAGCTTCGAAGCCCTAAGCCAACAGCCCGAAACCCTGCTATCATATACTGTATTAGCAGTACATAATCTACTATTGTATTGATGTCCTATAGGGGCTATTCGCAGGTCAGTTTTTGCTGTTTGGCTTTACAGGTTTAGGGTTCAGGGTTTAGGGTTTTTGCCTTAGGGTTCTTTAGGGTGTTTAGGGCTTTACAGGCTCAGGGTGTCCTCGACACCCCAGCCGCGAAGCCTGAGCCCGGATCCGTCTGCCTCACTCAGGGTTGCTTTGTTTCTGACGCGGCTGGCGGCTCTCACTGACAGAGGATTTTGCAAAGGTCCTGCAGGATTTGTTCGGTTCGGGATCTAGTTAGGTGTTTTGTATTCGCACTACTGCGGCGAAAGTCGAAAAGTGAGCTCCAGGGATTCACGGTTTTTTTGGGGGGGCAAGGTTTCAGGGGTTAGAGCCGGTTTTGGATTTACTAGCTTTAGGAAGGCTTTGTAATGCTTTTACAGGGTTGAGGGTGTAGGGATTCTATGACGGCTTTGTAAGGCTTTGTATATAGTTTTGCAAGCAGACGAAGAAGGCCTTTTGGGCGTGACATGGTCGCTTTCACCGGGCTGTGCAGGGCTTGATATTATCAGTTTTATTACAAGTTCTTGGAGTTGCATTAGGGTTGGGCTGTGGGTTCTTTTGCCTTGCTAAGACGAAGTCAGCATCGTAAAAGTACTATAACTGTAGGGACGTCTGTTAATGATTAGAATTGGGTTTGGCTTTGACCAGCTCCAGTACACTCATACCTATATCTACCTGCATATATCCATATCAAGAACTTTGGGAAATACCTCAGTATTGCTGTATAAGCACCCGGCCGCAGACGCAGAATCAGCTGTGCATGTGTGAAACAATCAAGTCTGAATACACTTGCCTGTGTAGCTCTCTGTGCGTGCATAACCGAATGAAAATGAACCTATGCGCGTGGGTGTGTATGTATGGGTATATGTAGGTAGGTAGGTAGGTAGGTAGGTAGGTAGGTAGGTAGGTAGGTAGGTAGGTAGGTCGGTCGGTCGGTAGGTAGGTAGGTAGGTAGGTAGGAGGTAGGTAGGCAGGTAGGTACGTAGGTAGGTACGTAGGTAGGTAGGTAGGTAGGTACGTAGGTAGGTAGGCAGGCATGGAGGTAAGTTGACAATTTATTGATCTGTATGTATGGACAGTATGTGCTAGCACTAGGGATCGAATGGGGCTTCTGTTCTTCATGCCGCAGTTGTTGATAGTAACGTTGACCGCACGTGTTTAGAATCCGGTCTGTAATTCCACAATGTGAGGAGGCCCAAACTGTTTGACACTCAGGAATCTTTAGGGGTCTCCGCCACCCGGCCGCAACGCGCGCGCATCCTTGCAGGGAGAGCGGGTTGTGAATGAAGTGAAGAATACACTTTCATATTAGTTACATCACATGGTGATTCTGTTTAAGAATCGCTGATCTCAATTCACGGCTTTTTTATTCGATAGGATTGAAATATTCACGGCGTGAGGTACAGACCTGCGCCGCCAGCCGCGTAACATCTTCGGGATGCCCGAGCCGTTGCGCGGCCACTGTGATGGCCTCCGAGGATTAGAAGAGTAACAGGAGTAATAACAATACTAACTTTAGTAATACTAGCAAGTAATAATATTAGCAGTAAGTGATTGTACTGATTGTAGGCAAAGTAGTCATAGTAACAATGGCGACAACATCAACAACAGTAATCGTCGTAGTAATTGCTGAAGCTTCAACCTGTGCAAGGGGCAGGCTTTGGTATTCCTTCCGGATAGTCGGCTGGAGGCTTTAATCTGATCGGGTGAGGGGTTCGGGGCCTGGGGCTGAAACCCTACGACGGCGTCTGACTCAATGGCACAACAACACATTGTTCGCGTCCCCCAATGGGTCCCTCATGATGATAATGATCATGGGTGACGATGTTGTTGAGATACATATATACATATATATATATATATATGTATGTATATGTGTGTGTATGTTACGTGTGTGTATCTGTGCGCGTATGTATCTACATAAACACATGACCATATATAAATATATGTACGGATGTGTATATATATATATACATATGTGTGTGTCTCTGTGTAGGTAGGTATGTTTGCACATATGTCTACATGTAAAAGGAGCCCTCCTTCCCCGTTGCACGTGGAGGGCCAACTAACTGTAGACTGCAGACAGAGAACATAAGCCTCCGAGTACTTCCCTCAGGCTGAAAGCTCGAAGGACAGTCTCCCGACCTGCACACTGCGATTTCGGCCACCTCTGCAGCAATCAACTGCTCACAGGAGAGTGCTTGACACCTACAGAATTGAAATGGGGTGCCGGCCCCATTGTTGGACCAAAACGATACCAGAACAGCACGTCGCCCGTACAGCCAGAGAGACACATATGCAGAGACTCTACAGATACTTTTGCTCTTGATCCTGAATGTCCGATCCTTATATTAGTGGTTGTCAGGATTTGGCAGCTTAGGAGGTGAGGGCTCAATATGTCGATGCTTCAGACTGTGACAGCGACTGAGTTAACTGAGTCTGAACAGAAGTTGTAGGACTACATCAATCAACTCCAAGCCACCGCCCTTGCCGCCCATAGCCAGCCCGCACAGGACCTGCGCCGAAATGCTCCGAGAAAACGTGGCCGGGGGCACCAAGTCTTTTATTTTGCAACCTTGCTGGCTTGTCCTTGTGACATAAGGGGCCTTAATCATTAGGATAGGGTTTGGGGGGGGGGTATATTGTACCATAAGTATGAGAAGGAACCCCGAAAACCCTGTTCAAACTATTGAGGCCCCTACATTACGCAAAGAACCCTGAATGTTGAACGCCAAACTTCACGACTACACCCCATCTCTGCCGCAGCACGGAGGTCGCCACGTTCCGGACATCCGCATCGGGATCTTCGAAACAGGATGCGATGAGCTCGAGAATGGCAGATAGGTCGTCTTTTCCCAGGGTTTCGGCTGGACCACCCTGCCGGCGGGCAACGATCTGGGGGTATTTCTTTACCGGAGTTGGTCATGGAGCCGCTGTAACTATAAACACGTGAAGGTCACAGGACTTAGTAAGTAGAGTTACCCTTTAAGAAAACTCCAGGTACTCCTACAAAACACCTTGTAGTACCCTTATAAACTCATAGAACCCCTAAACAGATGTGACCTTTTACGCGAAGGACAGCTGCAGATCTGACAGCAACACGGATCCTTGAACCCTGAATGGCGCAACGACATCCTGCACCGACTCAGGCCGCTACAGAAAAGTATGAACAATTTCTGAAACGACACGATGAAAACGAAGTATACAGCACCACGAAAACAAACCACCACGGCACGCCCTCTTCTGCCCAGTCCACCAGGCCCTCTCACAATCCCATAAAGCCCTGCATATGGCGCTGCAGATATACTAATCGTCATCGTGATAAGAAGAAGAAGAAGAGTAATTTTAAGCATCATCATCATCATCATCATCATCACAAGACGAATAACATTGACAAAAATGTTAATAGTAACAGGATTAGGAATAGTTTCTTTTCGTGATAGTAATAGTACTAACAACAGTAATAGTACTAGTACTAGTACTAATTCTAGTGATAGTAGTAATGATAATAATGATAGTAATGACAATAACAATAAGAAATAACGGTAATCGTAATAGTAATACTAGCGCGACAGTACTGGTAATAGAAGCAGTAATAGTAAGGACCTGCGGGCTCTGGATGGCATCCGACGTCGCGAAAAGGTTCGCCACCGCCTCGAGCACGGAGCACCGGCAGGAAGGCTCCAAGGAGGAGCGGTGCCTGGTGCAAGGGTTCCTTTAAGGGTTCTGTAAAGGTTCTACAGGGTTTAGGGCTTAAGGGCCGAAATACCTATATACTGCCTGATTCAGCAGATCAGCGACGACCACCGCTACCACAACCACAGCACATTTCAAGTCCTCCTCCTAGTCTTCCTGCTCCTCCTCATCATCACCACCATCATCCGCAGCATGAGCACAGCGCCATCGTCATCGTCATCATTATCACCAACACCACCATAACGCGACCGCCCTCATCTTCTGTGTCCGCCTCGTTGTCGTGACTACAACCGTGCGGAAAGAAGACGACTTGCACCAAAAAGTTGAAAGTAGTCACGACACCAACATTGCGACTCAGACGGTGAAGAAACCCATGGTCACGGTGGTGTGTCGTTTTGTCATGAGCACCTCAAGAGAGACCGGAAGAAGAGTGGAACAAGTTTGAAGCCAAGGCTCTCCAACATGCCCTGCACCGTCTGAAGCGCTTGTTGCCAGGCTTCTAGTCCGAAACCTCCCATGACTCCGATGGCTTCCTGTCTCACGACAGCCGCTGGGTCCTGAAGCCCAAGACGGGCCGTAGCCTGGGCGGCTTTCATAGCCCACTGGCTCCGTTCTTGCACCTTTCGGATCTCATTGGTGCTCTCCTTCTCCTTCTCGCGCTCGTCGCCCTCCACGGCCGTTCCAGGTGGGTGCTCCTCGCCTGCCTTTGCAAACTCGGCCAGTGCGGTCAGGGCCGCACAGCGTGTGGGCTCGTCGTAGCCTTGCGAGATCCGGCTGCTGACGGCACCAACAGAGATGCTCGTGGGCCCGAGCCGCTTGAGCAGCAGGCATGCCTCGTCCTTCCTTGGTTTCAGGATGCTGTGACAAGCCACGGCCTTTCTGTGCAGTTTGTCATCATCCACTGATCCTAGTTAAAGCCAGCCCAAGCTTCACATCCAGGTCGACATAGGCCAAGAGTTCGGCGATCGCCTGGGCAGCTGCCTCCTCATGCCCGGAGGTGTTCGCACTGCGGTAGAGGGTGGCCCCAGCTTTCTCCCGCACCTCCTTGCTGACTCTTCTCGCGTCAGACTGGTTCTCGCTTCAATCGGTCTACTGGCTACTGAGCTTACTCTTCTCGTTTCAATCGGTCTATTGACTGTTGGCTACTGAGTCTACTTTTCATTCAAACGCAATACCATGCCCAGCCTTATCCCGGTGGTGCAGAGCGCGGGCAAAGGCCTGTTCAAGGCCAGACGTGGGGCGGTAGCCCAAATCTGAGAAGCGCTCCAGCGTTCCCAGAGCTTCGAGAGACACGAAGCCTGGGTGGAAGACCATTTGCCGAGCCATACTGATTAGCATAATCAGCAAGCATCACCAAAAACAGCAAAGCTATCAATGGATTCCAATAGTCATGCTACATGACATGGCAAAGCACCATCTAAGCTTGGGATGTGAGGAGGGCTCCACTCAGGATCTGGCATTTTACTTCTTCCACTATCAACTGCAGCCAAGCCGCTGTTCCAATCCGGCACGAGGCCCTGAGCAGCCTGGTCGGAGCTTGACATCACTTGGAATAAGCGGCCGCGAAGCAGTCATAGGGTTTATATAACCTTAGGCCTCAGATCGCTTCAGGGTTTACGATTTTGCTTGTAGGGTGAAGCGCATTTCATCAGCTTCCTGGTGTTGTGCGTCAAAATGCAGTTAATTTCGAGGCTGTGATTGGGAGTGTCAAGTCGCTGGAACTCGAAGATAGGAGCAGAGAGGTCTGCCGAAGGGTTGCCGATCAAGTAAGCTTTTGGAGATAAACATCTGAAAAAGCTTTGTCCCAAAGTGCCGATGGCTCTGATTCTGCAAGCGTGTATTCTGGAACCGATGACCTGTACGACGTCACCGCCTTTCCTTCGGAACAGCGGCAGCATTTGACCCCAAAAAATGCACCGAAAGTGTCACTCCCTCCCCGCCAAGACCATAAACCATACTAGAAACCACACAACTGCAAAGCCTAAACAGAAAAAGGCGCCCCAAAAACAAGAATCTGAAAACCGTAGACAAACCACAAGCTCAAACCCCTTCTGTGTGGGACTGGAAAAAGAAACGATCACTCCAAAGAAAAAGTAAGACCTCCACAGCTTCGGCCATGTCCTCCGGCGTGAGGACTGCCTCACCACTAGCCTGCCGGGTCTGATCATTGCGTTTAAAGTTTAAGAAATGCCCTCAAACCAAAGAGAAGTGCTGTAATCAATACTGTTCCACGATCCATCGTCGTGGTGATGACCTGCATCTGCAAGACAAACTTTCGATAGCATTAAACCTGTAGTAACACGTACAAGAACGTGCGGTTAGTGACGATACTAACGAAGGCGATAAGAGTGCAGGCCACAAGAAGACTTATCCAAACCAGGACTATACACAATACTATCTGTAAATCTGGGATAACCCCTCGAAGTATCAGCTGCAGTAAAGAGGGCCAAAGTCCGACTTCCGTCACATCTATGTCAATACTACTACCGAGCGATCGAAGCGCATCCGAGCTGCACAAAGGGCCGAGCATGCACGCAGCGCCGCGCGCCGTACCTGGGCAACCCGGTGTGCTGGGCTTGGGATTTTTAGGGTTTAGGGTGTATAGGGCAGTGAAACAACTCCATGTCGAGGGCAGTGGACGGCTCAGTGTGTATGTTCAGGGGAGGGGCTCTGCGACATGATGTTCGGATGTGGGGGCCCGAGGTGGTATGAGACTTCCCGACTCAAGCAGCTACAGCCTTAGAGTGTGTTGAGCTATCAGGGCTTGGGCTTGGGTTGACTGGGTAGGTTTCAGAGATGCTTGGTGTGTCTTGCCTGGCCATGGCTTGGTCTCATGATGAAGGACGACGAAGAAAGGAACTGAAAAATGCGATGGTGAACGGCGCGCCCCTGCCTGCCACATCGCATCGCCCATGGCTTCCAGTGCCGCCGGAATGAAGTCAACGTTCACCTTGCGGAAATGCGCACAAGGGGTTGGGGTCGATGTTGCCTCTCGAGATGAAGGGCTCGAAGCGTGCAGGCTCAACCCGCGCGCAAAAGCTGGAGAGAGTATGGAAGTGGTCCGAATTTAGGGAATTCAACTCCTCCAACTTTAACATCTGGGGTCGGTCCTCCATCACCAGAGCAACGACAAAGCCTGCCTGCCGCGCCCTTCAACGAACAACCAAAGCTCCCACCCTCATGTGATCAATCACTCCACCTCCGAGGCAACCTCCACGAAGAGGTCCAGGGTTGCCTCGCGCACCTGGCATCGCTTCCGTGCTGCTATTCCTCTTGACGACACAAATTGGCTGAAGATAAACACGTTCACACCAGCTACGATCCCATGACTAGTCATTACTATTTCTTGTGCATTGAACACACACACACACACATCTGGCATCGCTTTGCACCTACACACTTTTTGGCTTTGCACCTACACGCTCTTGCTCAGAACAACTCGTGAGACGACGTGCAGCCACGGTCAAGATCGCAGACCTACCATAAGCCCATTAGATTGGACTCCGCACCCTAAGCCGTAAACCCGAAACAAATCCCCAAACCCTGAACCCTAAACCCCTAAAGCCCGAAACCCTCAGACACAAAACCCTGTCTTAAGACAGGCGCAAGGCCTGCCAACAAGGGTCTGAGGTCGCCATCGTCCGAAGGAGTCGCTTGGCCTGGGCCTCGCACAAGAAGTTGACAGGCTTGCTGAGCTATGACTACTGCGATTGCTACTACCACTATACTCATTGTTTTAACACTACTACATATGTTTAAAAAATACCATAAGTGGTTCAAGAGCCTTCCATAAGTGGCTGAGCAGGGTGTAAAGGCGGCGCTGGAAAGATTTCCCAGCAGCTCCCCGACTCTTGTGCCCCTCCCCCCGAGACCGAACAGCACCTGCCGTCGCCAGCCCCTCAACCGAGAGGCCCAAAGTTCCATGAATCCCCGACACCTCAACCCCCAAAACACCCAAAATCTCAAGCCCAAAACCAAAAGCCCGAAATCCCCCTGCCCCACCTTGCGCTGCGTGACAGATGCCACCCCCTCCTTGGCAGACGCACCTGACAAAAATCCGGGATCCTTATCGGGATGTGCCATTTACGGGTGTGCCGGTCTGAAGCTTTCGGTTGAAATACGTACGCATTTCAGGGTTTTGGGGCTCTTTGCTACTGTAGGAACCAAAATAAGATCCTCTCGAGAACTGCGGCGCAAGAGAAGAAACCAGATCCTCAACCCTAAACCCCAAGCCCTCAATTCACCCCCGAACCCAAATAATCGACATTCCGAGCCGTGAATCTCAGAAGGATCCCCCGAAACAGCCACCAAGCGACTTGCAGAGATGCCTGCGGCTGCGGAGACCTTTGCAGCTCGGCTTCGGGATTTCGGATTTGGGGCCAAATGTGAGAGTTTCTGATTTAAGGGTACCCGAAAGCCTAAAGCCTTTGAAGCCTAAACCCCGAAGCATGAACTCTACCTCCAAAGCCCTCAGCCTTAAACCTTCGAAGCCCCAAATTCCCAGCTTCAGCTTCTTGTTGCTACGCCGCCGAACCTTGATGTTTTGGAGGCTTTCGGAATTCCGGGGCTCGCCAGCTGAAGCCCTTCACATACGCGTTGTGACCGACGTGTCGCCGAAGGACGGTAATGAATAGAGACATTCTGCAAATGCTAGGCAAGAGAGCAAATAGTGAAACAAATGTGGCCTGGGTGACAGCAACAATGACACCTTGGTGTGAGTGCGAGAGGTTCTTGTTATACTACAGAAAATCACACACAAACGGCATCGGAAATCGTGATAACAAGGACCGCGGTCTCCATAAATCCGGGTCCCTTATGTTATAAGCCCAAAAATACTAAAGCCTCATCCCTTATCGAACCCTCAAAGAACCCAAAACCCCAAAACCCTAAACCCCTAAAGCCTAAACTCATGAACCCTGAACCCCCCTAACGCACCAAACGCCCTTTGAAAGCCACCATAAACCGCCTAAACCCTAAACCCTGAAACCTTAACCCTGAACCCTAAACCCAAATCGTCAACCCTTCCAAAGCCCAGAGCCCCGAACCGGCGGCCTCCTTGAGCCCCGCCTGGCGCTTCTGGAGGTCTCCGGAGCTCAGGAGCGCTTCCACCTTCCTTTCAGTTTAGGGTTTAGGGTTTAGGGTTTAGGGTTTAGGGTTTAGGGTTTAGGGTTTAGGGTTTAAGGGTTTAGGGTTTAGGGTGTAGGGTGTAGGGTTTAGTGGCTTCCACCTTCCTTTCAGAAGGGAAGCCCTTAAAGGGCTTCGGGTTTAGGGTGTAGGGTGTAGGGTTTGGGGTTTTTTTGACACTCACACTCGGACAAGCCTGGCAAGGTCCACCACGATACTGTCTTCAAGATGCATTAACAGAGACCTCTAAGCAGGTATCACTTGGAGGCTCGCTGTCAAGTAGGATAGCG